ACTATAGGTCGAGCAGGTGGCATTTGGGTTGTTGCACCTAAGAACCGGGACTTCACCACAAAGGAACTCAGTGTTTTTGACCAAGCCATAACCTTCCAAATTTCCAAGAGATCCTCTCATTGGGTTTGCTCTGCAGTGTATGCCAATCCCCACAGTCACTTAAGACAAGAAGCTTGGAATCACATCATTAATATCAGAAAGATGATTACCCTCCCTTGGCTCGTCATCGGGGATTTTAATGAGATCACAAATGCTGATGAAGTCAGAGGTGGCAACTTCGTCCCACATATGGCTGCTAGGCTAACTAATGTTATTGATACCTGCCAACTTATGAACATAGGTTGTTCAGGAACTAAATTCACATGGATAAGGGTCAATAAGGGTACAAGGATGGCAAAGAGGTTAGACCGTGCTTTGGCCGATAGTGCATGGCGTGTTGCCTTCCCCGAGGCTTACGCGGAAGCAATTTGTCGTGTCTATTCTGACCATTGCCCGATCCTTGTCAGGAGTGGAGGTATTAAGGACAATCACCGCGATAGGCCATTTAGATTCCAGGCTGCTTGGACCTCACACAAGGATTATAACCAAGTGATCAAAAAGGCTTGGGAGAAAAAGTCTCCAAATTTATGCCTTAGTCTTAACCAAGTGAAAGAAGATTCTTTGATATTCAACAAGGAAATCTTCGGCAACGTTTTCAAGCGTAAGAGTAGAATCATAGCTAGACTAAATGGTGTACACAAAGCCCTTGAAAAACACGACTCTTCTGATGTCAACCAACTCGAGAAAGCTCTCCAAGATGAATATAATGACATCCTCTTACAAGAAGAGTATATCTGGTTCCAAAAGTCTAGAGAACAGTGGGTTAGATTTGGTGACAGGAATACGAAGTTCTTCCATACCCAAACTTTGGTTAGGAGAAAAAGAAACAAGATCCATGGCCTTTATTTAAATGACGGAACCTGGAACACTGACCCAGACACCTTGAGAAGGAATGCTAAAGAGTATTTTATTGAACTATTTACTAACAATATTGCATGTTGCCAGACATTGTTTCAGGTTCAACGGTGTCCACAACTAAATGAGGAAGCCTATTATAGATTACTCAGCCCGGTGACATATGACGAGGTTAAACAGGTGATCGTCAACATGAGCCCTCTGAAAGCCCCAGGTCTCGACGGTTTCCAAGCCTTCTTCTACAAGAAGTATTGGCAAATTGTTGGGAGAGATCTTCATAATCTGGTCCAAAATGCTTTCTCCTAAGGGCGAGCGAATCAAAGACTTCTTGACACAAACATTGTGTTAATCCCTAAATCAAACAATCCCATGCATTTCAAGGACTTCAGACCCATAAGCCTATGCAATGTAGCATACAAGGTAATCACCAAAGTTCTAGTGGACAGAATTAGACCCTACCTCTCAACCATTATTGGTCCATATCAAAGCAGTTTCATCCCTGGAAGAGGTACATCGGACAACCTCATCTTGGCACAGGAGGCTGTACATAATATTCATAATGATAAATCTCGCAAAGGAATGATCATGGTAAAGATAGACCTCGAAAAAGCGTATGACAGAGTGAGTTGGAGTTTCCTCCACGAAACGCTTAATCTATTCGGGTTCCCTGAGCGTACCATTCAACTCATCATGTGAGGTGTTACTGGTTCATACCTAAAGATCCTTTGGAATGGTTCATCTTTGGAAGGCTTCACTCCTTCTAGAGGTGTTACTGGTTCATACCTAAAGATCCTTTGGAATGGTTCATCTTTGGAAGGCTTCACTCCTTCTAGAGGGCTTAGGCAAGGGGACCCTCTCTCCCCTTACCTGTTCGTTCTATGCATGGAAAGACTTGCTTTGAAAATCAATGAGCTAGTGGAAAACAATAGTTGGAAACCTGCTCACATTTCTTGTGGTGGCCCTCCTCTTTCACATTTAATGTTTGCTGACGACCTCTTACTATTTGGCGAAGCTACGGAAGACCAAGCCAGAGTTATGGAGAGGACCCTAGAGGATTTTTGTAGAGCCTCGGGTCTCAAGATAAACCAACAAAAATCCAAGTTTGTTTGCTCGAAGAAGATAATTAACTCAAGACTTGAGGAGCTTGAGAACCTACTGGGGATAAAGAAAGCCAACTCTGTGGGAAAGTATTTAGGCCATATCCTTATCAGTGGTAGAGCTACAAATAAGGACTTTGAGCATGTCACCAACAAAGTTAGGAGCAGAATTGCCTCCTGGAAAAGAAAACTTTTGAATAGAGCTGGAAGGATTTGCCTGGCAAAGTCAGTCATAACATCTATCCTAGTGTATACTATGCAAGCATATTGGCTACCACAAAGAACTTGTGACCATCTCAATCAACTCTGTCGCAGATTTATTTGGTCTAAAGATGGCACTTCCCGTAGTTGGAATTTTGTTAACTGGTCTCAAGTTACGAAATCGAAGGCTCATGGTGGGCTTGGCATTAGGGAAGCCAGAAATATGAATATTGCTTTACTAGGGAAGCAAATATGGAAATATATCATGAATCCTGAAACTCCTTGGGTAAAATTTTTGAAGCATAAATATCTGAAATCAAATTCCATATTGACCCCTCTGACCATCAAATGTCCATCTTACGTTTGGAAAAGTATTAAGAAGGCAGTGGAGGTTCTCAAATATGGCTTTGAACCGAAACTTGGTTTGGGTAGATCTTCTGTCTTTTACGAGGATTGGCTTGGAGATGGGCCACTCTGCACTAAAGTCCCTTTTGTGCATATTTCTGACACCCAACTCAGTCTGGCTGACATCTGGGTGAACAACAAATGGAACCTTCTAACCTTGCACACAAATATTACCAAAGACATTGAACAAAAGATCCTTAAAGTTAAAGTCCCCCCAACACCAGTGGGACAAGACACATTCAGATGGAGCAAGACAATTTCTGGAGAATACACAACCTCTTCAGCTTATAATTGGCTTCAAGGTGACCTTGAATTTTACCCTCACCCCATTTGGAAGCAAATTTGGCAACTTCAAATTACGAAGAAATTAAGAGTGTTTTGTTGGTCTATTCTTAACAATGCATTACCGACAAATAGTAAGAGGAAGGCTAGCCACCTGTCTATCTTGGAATCTTGCCCCCGTTGCTCTGCAACCACCAAGGATGTTATCCACGCCCTCCGGGATTGCCCCAAATCAAAGGAACTGTGGAATAAATTGGAGCTGCTAGAAAAGAATTTATATATGGATGACAGACAATATCCTCACCTGGGTCACAAATATCCTAAAACATAAAAATACTGTTAAAATCATCACTACTATGTGGTGGGCTTGGAGATGGAGGAACAATCACATATTTGATGAAGAAAAGTGGGATATTAATAAAGTGATCCGCCATGTTTATACAACCATGGCAGACCTAAGTTTTATGAAGAAATCACAATGGGACAGTGATGAAAATAATCAATGGCAACCCCCAGCCGACCAGTTCGTTAAGGTTAATGTGGATGGCAGCTTCAATCCTTCATCTAGTGTTATGACGATTGGCGGATCTATTCGGGATCGCAATGGAAAATGGCTTTTTGGCTTCTCGAATAACATGGGAAGAGGGTCTAAAAACATGGGAAGAGGGGACCATATTCTAGCTAAATTATATGCCATTAAACTTGGCTAGAGATCTACTGGAATAAAGGTTGGAGAAACATAATTTGCGAAACTGATTGCCGTGAAGCCATGAAGTGTATAATCGAAGGAAATAACCTTAGACATTCTCATTTGGAGGTTATTGATGAGATCAACCATCTTCGGAGAAGGACCTGTAATACTAAAATTAACTGCATCAACAGAGAAGCAAATAAGGTAGCAGATATACTTGCGAAGAAAACATGTAGCGGAGGAGACTTCACGTGGCCGTCACCGCCTAATGAAGTTATTGAACAGCTCACGTTGGACAGCATGGGTATCACGTAGTTGGCTTGTCGTGGCCTATCTTGGCTTTTCGTACTATCCTTTCTTTTTGAACTTTCCATTTCTACCAAAAATAAAATAAAATATTTAGTTATTATAAATTTTATTTATATATAAAATGATTTTAACCACTTTTTCCTTTGAATATATCATCTTTATAATTATTTCAATATATATCTTTTTTAGAAAAGATTATCAATAGTTAAACATAATTTTTTTTTATCACAATACAAATTTTATATCATAAATGTAAATATAATCTATATTTTAAAACCATTTATTTGTTATAAATTTCAATAATTATAACACAACATATAGTAATAAAATATGTAATTATCATAAATTTTTAATTATATAAAATAAATGATTATTTTTCGCATTGCACAAATTAAAATTTTAGTAACACAAAATATATAATTAGAATATTTATTTATTATAAATTTTAATTATATAAAATTAATAATTATCTTATATATTGCATATGATAAAATAGTAAAATACTAGTTTTATATAAAAACAGGACTTGATTCACATTGGTATATGTATTTATTTGGTTTTAAAAAAATATTTATCATAAAATTTAAATAATTTACAAACTATTTTAATTTTAGTTATTCTTTTATTTTTTTCTAGTTTTATATTTTGGCATGGTTTAATCACCAAAATCAACCTAATAACAAGAATTTGAATATTATACACAAAATTGGATATGAATATATTTTGACATGATTTTAAGCATAATTTAATTAAATTTATAATATAATATGTGAATGCATTCTTTAGTGTAAAATCGTTATCGCATCTCAATTTTGATTTTGAATAGTCAAAAAAAAAAAAAAAAAAAAAAAAAAAAATAGATTATATCCATGAATATATCTTGATTTCTAAATCAATTATTGTGATCACATCTCAATATTCAATTTTTAAATAGTTTTATCCAATATAACCGTTCTTCAAACTCGCCCTTTCTAGCTCCTTCCATATATAATCATTGCCTTCCTCATCGATAGAAGCAATTGATTGCACAAAAACCCTAAACCCTAAACTTCATGGAGGCCATGACAGTTAAGAAAAAACCAGAAGTGGAGGATAGAATTAGCGAGCTATCAGATGATGTTCTATGTCACATTCTTTCCTTCATTCCAACCAAGGAAGCCATTGCCACCTCTTTGTTGTCCACAAGATGGAGATTTGTGTGGACCATGGTTCCATCTCTTCACATTGAGTGCCCCTTACCAATCATGAATCACTACAAGACACTCAATGCGTTCTTGGCTCTACGCAGAACACAAAAAGTCACAAGTCTTCGTGTCAAATGCAAGAAGCATCCATATTATAATAGTTGCTCTTGCTCACGTAACGTGGAAGAATGGATTTCTGAAGCTGCAGCCAGAAAAGTTGAACATGTGAATATCTGCTTGTACACCTACAATACAAGGATGCTCCAGATCGCACCCTTCTTCACATGCACCACAATTGTCACGATGAAGTTCAAGGGAATCTTTAATTTCCATATTCCTTCTGTTATTCATCTCCCTAATCTCAAGACTTTGTGCCTAAACGTTAAGAGTTACTTTCCCAAGGGCCAAATTAACAACCTTATCTCTGGATCTCCAGCTCTTGAACTGTTTCTCTTTGAGCATCATTTCAATGAATATAAGATTATGCGCAACTCTCAAGTTATTCAACTCTCCAAACTCAACACCCTTTACACCCTTGTTATACAAAGTGAGCCTCGTTATGATTTTATCTCTGACTATTTCGAAGGTCGTGAAGTAAACATAGTGAAAGCCAAGGTTTATCTGACAGTGTATAGGGCTCATGAGCAGAGAGTTGTTCATAAGATTCTCCAACGTCTACGTAACGTTGAGTTTTTAACTTTCACTTATTTTAGGAATGAGATGGACGATCCTTCTAATCTTGATTTTCCACTGTTTAAGAATTTGGTCACGTTAAAGCTTTTTCTTAAGGACAATGTGTCCTTACAAATTGAAAATCCCGCCAAGTGTCCTAACCTTCGAATGATTGAAGTTAACATCATGGATGATTGTAAGAGATGTCGGTATTATGCTAATGGTGGAGGAAGGAAGCACGACCAATTAACTGTTCCTATTTGTAATAAAATAACCACATTTAGAAAGTGCTTTAGGACTTCAAGAGGCTATAAGTTATAGTTTAGTAAGAGCAATGATTCTTGATATATGCTCTTTTTGCTTCTGTTTCCCCTGAGTTTTCTATTTTTTTTTAAGGTACTCAATTTTCTATTGTTAGTGTAACGTGCAAAAAAAATGTGAGCTTACGAAATGCTGAGCGGAGTGGGGAGAAAAAGTTAGTTACACCACAAGACCACGTGGCAAATGATCAACAAGGAAATAGACGTAGGAAAAGCATGAGGAGTAAGAGAGAGAATGTATTTCTTCAGGACTACGTGCACTAGGGAAAAGGCATGTGTGTGGTATGTTTCTCTCTGAAAATTCTGCTGCATAATTCTTCCTAATCTGATTCTTCAGTATCGATTCTTCTTACTTCTTTCTGATATTGATTCAGGTTGTGTGAGCTTCAACAGCGGTGATCGGGTCGTGATTGACAGTTATCATTAGTTTCTCATTTTCAATTATGTATTGAAACCTTGTTTCTTGATTGCAATTGTTTGCTGTTTTAATTGTAATCAGGCACTTATATTCTTCAAACAATATTATACAAAATATACAGGGTGTTTCTATTTTCCAGTACACACGTTTATATTACTATAAATACTATTACTATAAATACTAATTTATATTATATCATCATATGATATTTTTTAAAATTTAAATACATATTTAGTTTTTATGAGATGAATTGGATTTAATTTTAGTTTTTATATTTTTATAAAATATTTTATTTCTTTGAAAAATGATTAAGTTTTGACTTTGATGATCTTGTAATTTTTTTTTATTTTTATTACTCTAAATTTAAAATCACTATTTTTAGTTCTTAAAAATAGTTCTATTTATGAAAAAAAAATAATTCTGGATTTTATAGAAGTGAAAAATAAAGGGAAAAATTTCACAAAGATCAAAATAAAAATTTACTCATTTAATAAATACAAAAATATTTAAAATTTATTTTTAATTGTAAATAATGTATTTTAAATATTAAATTAATTAAATTTTAAAAAATATATATGATAAATATAAATTAAAATAGATTAAAAGTATAAAAAAAAAATCAAAAAAAGATCTTATATCTTGTTTGATAGTGTCAATTTGTTATCCATCATTTTTGCTCATTAAAAGAAACTAAGATATAGTTTGACTGATTGATTTGATTAAAATATATACTTGTTATAAAAAAAATTTGTTACCATAATTAAATAGTATAATATATTTTTATGAAATAATTTATTTTTATATATTAAATACAAATAATTATTTATACGATAGTATTTTTAATAATTTTTTTAACGAAAGAATTTTTAAAAATTAACATCTTATCTATTAATATTTTAATCTAAATGTACAAATTAAATATTTATTATATATGACTAAAATTTATAATACATTATATATACAAATAAATATTATGTTTAAATATATAACTTGTATTTAAAATTTACATAAGATATTCTTTAACATATAAATTTTTTGATAAATAGTTTCTATTGTAACAAGATTATTTTTATTGATTGATAATTTATTTTAAGAATGTCAAAATAATTCATAAATAAAAATTAGATTAAATAAGAAGTTAATTTAAAAAAAAAACTTCTTGTTCAAAAAATAAGTTCCTACAAATATTTTTACACTAATAAATTATATTTTTAAGTAAAATTTATAAATTATATTTTAGATTTATGATAAATAATTTATATTATAATATAATATTTTTTTATTTTCTGATAATTTATTTTAGATATTAAAATTTAATTCATAAATAATTATGATATGTGAAAACTAAATTAGATAAGAAATTAAAAAAAATTCTAAAAATTATGTCATCAAATAAAAGCTCCTAAAAGTACTATCTTGCAAAATAAAGATGGTGTTCAATATATATATAAGGGTTGATGAATAAAAACTAAATTAAATAATAATTTTAAAGAAATTCATACAAATCTTCTCATTGAATAAAAACTTTTAAAACCCTATCACACAAGATAGAAATTCTCATTAATATATAGGGGTTGTTTTTATTTTACAATATAAATCATTTATTATAAATGTAAAATATAATTTTATATGTTTACATATATATATATATATATATATATATATATATAAAATATAAATATAATTCATTTATCTGGTATATAATATTTATTTGTATATATAATTTATTATAAATTTAATTATATAAAATAAATATTTAGATAAATAAATATAGGCTAGAATATTGATAGGATTTAGAATAAATAAATAGGTAACACCCGTCTCCCTCGTAAAATATTTCTTATATAATATATACTAAATACTAAATAATAGATAAAATAATAATAATAATAATAATAATAATAATAAATTTTAATTACTAATTTATGATATAAAATAATATCATTTATTAATTCAATAATGCTAAATTACTAATTTACTATCATGATGAAAATATTTTATACATTGACTTAATCTAATGAAACAAAATATAAAATAATTTTAAATTTTTTAAAAATTTTGCAGACTTAATTTATAAATTAAAAAATTTTAATTCAACGATTAAATATATAAGTTATTGAGTAGAGTAAGACTAATTACTTTTAAAGTAAGTAAATCTCTCCTCTCTATATATATTAAATTAATTCACTTGTTATTTTTGTTCTTATATATTATATTATATATGCTTTTACATTTTTGTGTGTGTATATATTACATATTATAATGATGCTCATTCCGTCAAATTTTTATGTTTACTATTACTTAATTCACATTTATGTAATAAATAATAGAAATATTTGACGTAATCTGGTATATATATTTTTTTAGATGCAACGGTTTAAATTATTAAGATAAAGTTTAATTTAAGATAAGATACGATTTTATGTAAAGTCAGAATTAATTATTAATCTCTTTAAAAACTTTCAGTAAAATTATGAATTGTTTATCATAATGCAAATTCGTATAAAAAGATATAAAATATGAAAGAAGTCAAATTCGATCATGGATCTTACTAAGAACAAAGAGATTTAATTAGTTGTTTCACAAATTAATTATGTAAATAATGAATTGTTAAAATAAAATATTTTTGTTTTATGTATGGATTTTTCTTCGATATAAACCAATTATATTTTATTTTAGAATGAAATCAAATTTTAAGATTAATAAAATAAAAAAGAATTATAATTTTTAATTTTTAGAATATATCAATAAATCAATAAATATTACTAAAAATTGATCATCATTATTAATTCAAATGGATATAAGAATTCAATCATCACGTAATGGAAAGATTTTATTTTAAAAGATAAAGTGTGATAATAGTTGTTGATTAAAAAACTAACTATAAATATTATAATTAATTTTAGATTTTATTATATATATTTGATTTTATCAGATTATCAATCGTAAATTTTTAATCAAAATTAATAGGATAGTTTATCTTAAATTCCTTCACATTAGAGGAGATAAATCTCTTCCTATGCTCATTATCTTCCATATTGACTCTTCATCCGGGGTATGGAAAAATATTAATTGCACACAAATCCTACATTTGATCAAGGTAGTAACAATGATGATCGAGAGAAAATCGTAAGAGGATAAAATTAGTGCATTACCAGATGATGTTCTGTGTCTCATCCTTTCTTTCCTTACGCTCAAGGAAGCCATAGCAACATCATTGTTGTGTACAAGGTGGAGATTTGTGTGGACCATGCTTCCATCTCTTCACATTGGGTGCGCCAAACCAATCATGAAACACTACAAGAGTGTCAACGTGTTTTTAATTAGCTCTACTTAGAACAGAAAAGATCACAAGCTTTCAACTCAAATGCAATAGCGATCATGATTGTTGCTCAAATTATGTGGAAGAATGGATCTCTAAAGTGGTAGCAAGAAAAGTTGAACAAGTGCATATCTCCTTATGCACGTCCGATGATAGGTTCCTCAACTGGGATCCCTTGTTTCATTGCACCACAATTGCCACCTTGAAACTCGAACAGTTTTACCTGAGGTCTTATCTCAAAGAGTTCACCATTGTGCATAACTCTCGATATATTCGATTCATTGATCGCAACCATTTATATGACAATGTCATGCAATATGATTATGCTTTTATCTCAAACTCTATGAAGATTCGTGGTTGGCGAAAAATCAAGAAAACCAAGGTTTATATAACAATGTATCATGATATAAAGGAGACTGTTTCTGAGATTCTCCAAGGAGTATGTAGTGTTAAGTTTCTCTCTTTGAAATATTGTAGGAATGACATTAACCCTTTTCCTCTTGATCTTCCGTTGTTTAAGAATTTAGTTGAGCTACGACTTTTTCTTAAAAAGGATGACTCTTTGATAAAGGAACTTCCTGCGAAGTGTCCTAACCTTCAAGTTCTTGAAGTTACTAACTTGGATGATCGTGAGAGATGTCGATAACTTCATTGGAGGAGCAAGGGTGCACGATTGTTCCTATTTGACCTAAAGAGCTCTTATTGTGAGATAATTGGTAGAGACTAAGTTATTGCTTTCTAAGAGCAAAAACTTTAGGTGTTGTTTGAGAAGTTCTTATTACTTTTCCATTCACTTTTCTGATTCAGCTAGTTTTATTGTTAGACTCCAGTGTAGGTAATGGCTTTAACTTTTATTCAATAAATTCCATTGTATTTTTTTTAATGTTTTGTTTGGATTGGGTTTTATATTGGAAATCTGCTAAAAAAATGCATGTGGTCCATATTCTATGGATTAAGTCATCTTTGTTGCTTGTGTAACTGCACCATAACTTTTTAATCAGAAGGTATTCAAATGTCAGGTCTATGCAACACGATAGCCTTTAAGCTTTTTTTCGTCTCTGATTTCTTTTTTGTTAAATTGGTAACCAGCACTTCGGAGTTTGATATCTAATAAGATAATTGAAAAATATAAAACAATACTATAAGACAATTGAGTCACGCATATCGAGATAGAGACGCGTTGATTTGCACATATTCGCGATTGAGACATATCCTAATTTGTGTGGACATGGTCTGCTGAAACATCCTTGTTGTGTTCGTCCCAAAAAAGTGTCAAACTTATAGACACGACAATCTCATTTTGTGTGTCTGTGCAACATAGGTCATCACTACCATGTGGTGCCACATGCTAATGGTAATGTCGACAATAATGATAATAATAGTAGTGATATAGATGGTGGTGATGGTAGTGTTATCGTTGCCATCATTACCGTCATTGACAATTGTCACTACTTTTGTCATCATCACTACTTTTATACCATTACAGTTATAGCACAATGACAATAATGATGACATTGATAACGGTAATGATGACAGTGGAGGTAACATAGCTTTAGGTAGTGATTGTGTGATGGTTATAAAAACAACAATATTAATTATCTCATATAATAGGTGTTTATAGTTAAAAGATAATTGAAACCATTACTTTTAACTCAAAAGTTTTTATTCAATGTTCTCATCTTTCATATTAAGACGCGTCTTTTACTTGATACGCTCGTTATATAATTAAAATATATTAATATAAATATTTTTTGTTATTAAAAATTATTTACAAATATACAATAAAAATATTTTAAATATTTCAATACTTAAATTAAACACTTTTTTAAATAGAAAATAAATTATCAAAATGAATGTTATTTAATTTCAAAAAATTTGAAAATGAAAATTATTTTAAAAGAATAGAAATAGAAAACAAAATAGGGGTAAACATCAACATGAGACTCAATCCAAAATCAAAAAAATCGAAAGAAAAAAGAGATAAATGGATGAGTTTGAACGGATAATTTGTTATGACAAATTAATTTTTTTTTAAATAGTTGATTTTGATCAGGTTTGATTCAAATTTTTCCACTCATCAATACTTAAATCCTATTGTCCAAGCAAAATAAAGGCTAAAATAATTATCATTAATGCCTAAAAACTAAGTTTATTTTGACTTATCTTTAATATATAATTTTTTTTAATTAAAAGTGTTATTTGTAACTTTTTTTTGTATCATGTACATAAAAAATTATTATAATATTTAAATTATTTAAAATTTAAATAATTTTATTCATTTTAAATCTAAATAAATTAAATAATATTTAAATGACTAAATATGTATAAAAAAAATGATATAAAAATTAAAAAATTTTAAAAATAATAAATTGAATAAAATTTTTATTTGACACACTTAAATAATTTAAAGTTTAATAGCTTACTATTAATCCTAGAAAATCATTCCATAAAATAGAGACTCAATCAATCTGCCAAACCTGTAAGTCATTTAATCATATCCGAATCTAAATAATACTATCCGTAAGTTATATGGGTTTGGTAAAATTTTTACTTAAATAATTTTTTTTTTTAAAATTACAAAAGTATCAACTGTGCAGGTTTATTTACCAATGTAGAACTGTTTACTGTTCATGCTCAGAATTCGATTCCCGGGGAACCGAATTCTGAGCTTCAAAATCTTATTTTTTTTGGAACCGAATTCTGAGTTACTTTAAAAAAAAAATTTCGTGTTTCTGACCCATTTTGGGCAAATTTTGGAAGTGGAACGGCCCGTTCCGAAAGCAGAACGGGCCGTTCTGCTTAAAGACACAGAGACCTTTTTTTTAAATTAAAACGGGCCCAGAACGGCCTGTTCCAGAGGCAAAATTTTAACATGTTTTTGAATCTGGAACGGCTGTGAAACGTCCCGTTCCGGAGGACGTTTTCAGGAAGTAAACCTTGGTTTGGAACGGGCCGTTCTGGTTTTGGAACGGCCCGTTCTGAGCAAACAGTAAAAAAAGATTAAATTTTTTATTTTTTATTTAAAAAAAAATAATAATAAAGTTAACAAAAATTATAATAATATCAATTAATCAGGATTCAATTTGATAGTGAAATGTGATAATTTGACCCTTAATTTTTTAAATTTAATTTATAACAAAATATATTATTTTAATAAAATTGATTGAATAGTTAAAATTTTATCCGATAATTATATTGTTGGAGAGAATATATTCCCTATAGTTCAGGGATAATTGTACGTTTTAAGCGCAAGATATTATCTTAAGTGATTGTTTAAATATATTATTTTAATAAAATTGATTGAATAGTTAAAATTTTATCCGATAATTATATTGTCGGAGAGAATATATTCCCTATAGTTCAGGGATAATTGTACGTTTTAAACGCAAGATATTATCTTAAGTGATTGTCTAAATATATTATTTTAATAAAATTGATTGAATAGTTAAAATTTTATCCGATAATTATAGTCGGAGAGAATATATTCCCTATAGTTCAGGGATAATTGTACGTTTTAAACGCAAGATATTATCTTAAGTGATTGTCTAAATATATTATTTTAATAAAATTGATTGAATAGTTAAAATTTTATCCGATAATTATAGTCGGAGAGAATATATTCCCTATAGTTCAGGGATAATTGTACGTTTTAAACGCAAGATATTATCTTAAGTGATTGTCTAAATATATTATTTTAATAAAATTGATTGAATAGTTAAAATTTTATCCGATAATTATAGTCGGAGAGAATATATTCCCTATAGTTCAGGGATAATTGTACGTTTTAAACGCCAGATATTATCTTAAGTGATTGTCTAAATATATTATTTATAGCTGATATTAAATGTTTCTTAACTTCTAAACATTAATATTAAATATTATTTCATGAATCCTGATTAATTGATATTATTATAATTTTTATGTTAATTTTATTATTTTTATTTTTAAAAAAAATAAAAAATTTAATCTTTTTTTTACTGTTTGCCCAGAACGGGCCGTTCCAAAACCAGAACGGCCCGTTCCAAACCAAGGTCTACTTCCTGAAAACGTCCTCCGGAACGGGCCGTTGCATGGCCGTAAAAAAGGCCTGTGTTTTTAAGCAGAACGGCCCGTTCTGCTTTCGGAACGGGCCGTTCCACTTCCAAAATTTGCCCGAAATGGGCCAGAAACACGAAAAAAAAAATTTAAGTAACTGAGAATTCGGTTCCCGGGAATCGAATTCTGAGTTGAAAAAACAAAAAAAATAAGATTTTGAAGCTCAGAATTTGGTTCCCCGGAAACCGAATTCTGAACATGAACAGTAAACAGTTCTACATTGGTAAATAAACCTGCACAGTTGATATTTTTGTAATTTTTTTTAAAAAAAATATTATTTAAGTAAAAATTTCTGGGTTTGGTTATATGGTACAAAATCCACGTACCCTACAGTACCCCCAAGCCAAAATATAAAAATTATCTCTTGAAAGAAAAAAAAAAAAAAAGAAAAAAAGAGGAATTAGGGAAGATACTATAAATATCTGGTGCACTGGTTGGTTGGAGTAGCTTTTCTTCATTTCCGCAATTCTCAGACGAATCCCTAATTTCGTCACAGGTCAGTTTCCTTTCACCATTTCCATTTCCCGCAACATCTACCTAATTAAATAATTCCATTTTCCCCTTTTACTCTTTCGATAGTCGATCTAATTGTTCATCATTTACTTGCAAGTTTGAAATTTGTTTGCAATCGTTAAGAAATTTTTCTTCCCCTTTTTCGGTTTTGGATCTGGAATTGAATGTGTTGCTTCTGTTTGTATTTGGTTTAGCTCTTTTTATTTAAAAATAAAATAAAATTGGGAGAGAATGTTAAAGGTTAGGTTTTAAGATTAACAAAATAAAAAAGAATTATAATTTTTAATTTTTAGAATATGTCAATGAATATTACTAAAAATTGATCATCATTATAAATTCAAATAGATATAAGAATTGGAGAGATTTTATTTTAAAGATAAAGTGTAATAATAGTTGTTGATTAAAAAATTGATGATAAATATTATATTTAAATTTAGATTTTATTATATATATTTGATTTTATCATATTATCAATCGTAAATTTAATTTTAATCAGAATTATTAGGATAGTTTATCTTAAATTCCTTCACATTAGAGGAGATAAATCTCTTCCTATGCTCATTATCTTCCATATTGATTCTTCATCTGGGTATATGGACAAATATTAATTGCACACAAACTCTACATTTGATCAAGGTAGTAACAATGATGATTGAGAGAAAATCAGAAGAGGATAAAATTAGTGCATTACCAGATGATGTTCTGTGTCTCATCCTTTCTTTCCTTACGCTCAAGGAAGCCATAGCTACATCATTGTTATCTACAAGGTGGAGATTTGTGTGGACCATGCTTCCATCTCTTCACATTGGGTGCGCCAAACCAATCATGAAACACTACAAGAGTGTCAACGTGTTTTTAGCTCTACGTAGAACAGAAAAGATCACAAGCTTTCAACTCAAATGCAATAGCGATCATGATTGTTGCTCAAATTATGTGGAAGAATGGATCTCTAAAGTGGTAGCAAGAAAAGTTGAACAAGTGCATATCTCCTTATGCAGACGGAGCCAGGATTTCAATACTAGGGGACCGAGAATAAATTCCAAAGTGATACCACATAGCAGGCCGTACCAGAAGTCCAAAAGTTGAATAAAAAAATAAATTTGGGTTATTCATTTAATTATACATATGAGTTTATATTAAAAATAGGGGGTGCCATATAGTAATATATATGTATATAAAAAAAAATTAAAATTGTTGGGGGGGCCGTGGCACCCGTAGGTCCCCCCTTGGCTCCGTCCTTGTGCACGTCCGATGATAGGTTCCTCAACTGGGCTCCCTTGTTTCATTGCACCACAATTGCCACCTTGAAACTGGAACGGTTTTACCTGAGGTATTATCTCAAAGAGTTCACCATTGTGCGTAACTCTCGATATACTCGATGCATTGATCGCAACCATTTATATGACATTGTCATGCAATGTGATTATGATTTTATCTCAAACTATATGAAGATTCGTGGTTGGCGAAATATCAAGAAAACCAAGGTTTATATAACAATGTATCATGATATGAAGGAGACTGTTTCTGAGATTCTCCAAAGAGTATGTAGTGTTGAGTTTCTCTCTTTGAAATATTGTAGGGATGACATTAACCCTTTTCCTCTTGATCTTCCATTGTTTAAGAATTTAGTTGAGCTACGACTTTTTCTTAAAAAGGATGACTCTTTGATAAAGGAACTTCCTGCGAAGTGTCCTAACCTTCAAGTTCTTGAAGTTACTAACTTGGATGATCGTGAGAGATGTCGATATAACTTCATTGGAGGAGCAAGGGTGCACGACCTATCGATTGTTCCTATTTGACCTAATAAGCTCTTATTGTGAGATAATTGATAGAGACTTAGTTATTGCTTTCTAAGAGCAAAATTTTTAGGTGTTGTTTGAGAAGTTCTTATTACTTTTCCACTCACTTTTCTGATTCAGCTAGTTTTATTGTTAGACTCAAGTGTAGGTAATGGCTTTAACTTTTATTCAATAAATTCCATTGTATTTTTTTTAATGTTTTGTTTGGATTGGGTTTTATATTGGAAATCTGCTAAAAAAATGCATGTGGTCCATATTCTATGGATTAAGTCATCTTTGTTGCTTGTGTAACTGCACCATAACTTTTTAATCAGACGGTATTCAAATGTCAGGTCTATGAAGCACGATAGTCTTTAAGCTTGTTTTTCGTCTCTGATTTCTTTTTTGTTAAATTGGTAACCAGCACTTCGGAGTTTGATATCTAATAAGATAATTGAAAAATGTAAAACAATACTATACAAAGGTATTTCCCTTTTTCCTATGTTATTTTGCTGCGTGCTTTTTGAAAAGGGTGGCATTTAGATGAAAATTTATAGGCTTAATGCTCTTTATAAATGGAAACAAAATAGTTATACCACCATCACCACAATCATACCACCTAACGTAGAAGTGTAACCTAGAAGTGTAAGAGGGTGTAAGTAACTTGTGAATTCAAACTACAAATTTATCCAATGAATTTGGGATCGATGAATTTTTCAGTATTCGAATTAAATTTAATCTAACATGATCAAAACTCAATATTATACAATAACAAGTTTAGTAATTTCAACCCGTAATTTGACTAGATCTGGTTATATAATAAAAATAATAATAATCTACATTTATATATATAAATGATTATTCATTTTTGTGTACATAATATTTGAATTATTTTATCCTTAAACTTTTAAATAATGAAAAATATTAAAAATTAACTATTTTTACAAATCCAAAACTTCAATATAAAACTTTAAGGTTTGAGCACTAAACATAACATCAATTGATTCAATAAACATTGATAATTTTTAAACACATTTAAATAAATATAGAGATACATTGTGTCTCAACCATACGAATATTTATTTTGCACAAGAATGTTTTTATCGGCTTTTCTTTGACAAGAGGGTTATTAAGGAAATTTTCAACTTCTTAACTAATTCTATTTTTATTTATCATAATTATTTATGACTCAAATTTAAATATTTTAAATAAATTATCAATTAATAAAAATAATATTATATTACAATATAAATTATTTATCATAAATTTAAAATATAATTTATATATTTAAAATATCTAATTATTTAAAATTTAAATATAATTGATATTTTCAAACATAATATTTATATTTCATATAAATATTATTTTTACAAATAAATCATAAATATAAATAAATACTCTTTTTTTTTGTAACCATAATATAAATATGAAATCCGTAAAAAAATCATGTATAATACCCACAGACTATGAACATCATCATCATTATTATTATTATTATTGAATGATTATTTGTTTAAGATGATATTCATTGTCACTTTTACTCAACAATGAATTTTGTGATTTAAGATTGATAGCATTATAACAATATAATATTTATTTTAAATTTTATTTTGTATTAATTAATATTAATTTTTTAAGTCGATAATAATATAACAAATAAACAAATTTATTTTTCAATTTAGTTTGTACCATTATTTATTTTATAGGTTGATAACATTATATTTAAAGCAATGTATTAAATAATTTACATCTATTTTAAAATGTTTAAATTTTTTAATAAATAAATAAATTTAATGATTTTGACCTGATTGATCATAATCAACATGCTCGTGATTAGGTTAGATTGAATTGAGTTTTAAAAAAAATTAGGTTAGATTGAATTGAGTTTTAAAAAAAATTGCACCCAGCTAACCCAACCCTACCTATTAAATTTTGATCGACTTGAATAACAAATTCATCTAAACTTAGACCAACTCGACATGCTTACACCCCTAGTGCCATCACCATTCTCACCATAGTCGTTACCTATGTAGCACAGATTCGGACATAACACAAGGATATGACATAGAGATACAATAAAATAAAAAAAATATAGGGTACATGAGACATATATATAATATATAATATAAATAATATGACAAAAAAATATATATATAAATATATATAACAATAATTTATTAAGTCTCAAAAACAAAATACTAAGAAACATAATAGTCCACAACAGAAAATTTTCTTTTTTTGAATCTTGAATCCTCCCTTCCTTGTTTATATTTTTATTAAGATTTTTTTTTTCTATTACATGAAGGTTAAGCAAGGAGAAATTAACCATTCTCCTCATTGTTTTTGTTTTTATCAATATTTTTTTTCTTTAAAAGAAACTCAAATCCTCCATTCTTTATTTCTATTTTTATTGAGATTTATTCTTTTATATATATATAATCTCAAATTCTCTCTTCTTTATTTTTGCTTTTATCAAGATTTATTCTTTTAAAAAAAATCTAAAATCCTCCCTTCTTTGTTTTTGCTATTATTGAGTTTTATTCTTTTTTAAAAAATTATCTCGAATTTGCATATCAGATTGAGTCACACACATCGAGATAGAGACGCGTTGATTTGCACGCAAGGACGGAGCCAAGGGGGGACCTACGGGTGCCACGGCCCCCCCAACAATTTTAATTTTTTTTTATATACATATATATTACTATATGGCACCCCCTATTTTTAATATAAACTCATATGTATAATTAAATGAATAACCCAAATTTATTTTTTTATTCAACTTTTGGACTTCTGGTACGGCCTGCTATGTGGTATCACTTTGGAATTTTTTTTTTTAAAAAAAATGTAGCGCCTCATTTGATCATTCCAATTCTTGGCCCCCCAGTATTGAAATCCTGGCTCCGTCCCTGTTTGCACGTATTCGCGATTGAGACATATCCTAATTTGTGTGGACATGGTCTGCTAAAACATCCTTGTTGTGTTCATCCCAAAAAAGTGTCAAACTCAAAGACACGACAATCTCATTTTGTGTGTCTGTGCAACATAGGTTATCACTACCATGTGGTGCCACATGCTAATGGTAATGTCAACAACAATGATAATAATAGTAGTGATATAGATGGTGGTGGTGGTGATGGTAGTGTTATCGTTGCCATCATTACCGTAATTGACAATTGTCACTACTTTTGTCATCACCATTACTTTTATACCATTGCAGTTATAGCACAGTGACAATAATGATGACATTGATAACGGTAATGATGACAGTGGAGGTAACGGTAGCTTTAGGTAGTGATTGTGTGATGGTTATAAAAACAACAATATTAATTATCTCATATAATAGGTGTTTATAGTTAAAAGATAATTGAAACCATTACTTTTAACTCAAAAGTATTTATTCAATGTTCTCATCTTTCATATTAAGACACGTCTTTTACTTGATACGCTCGTTATATAATTAAAATATATTAATATAAATATTTTTTGTTATTAAAAATTATTTACAAATATACAATAAAAACATTTTAAATATTTCAATACTTAAATTAAACACTTTTTTAAATAGAAAATAAATTATCAAAATCAATGTTATTTAATTTCAAAAAATTTGAAAATGAAAATTATTTTAAAAGAATAGAAATAGAAAACAAAATAGGGGTGAGCATCAACATGAGACTCAATCCAAAATCAAAAAAATCGAAAGAAAAAAAAGATAAATAGATGAGTTTGAACGGATAATTTGTTATGACAAATTAATTTTTTTTTAAATAGTTGATTTTGATCAGGTTTGATTCAAATTTTTCCACTCATCAATACTTAAATCCTATTGTCCAAGCAAAATAAAGGCTAAAATAATTATCATTAATGCCTAAAAACTAAGTTTATTTTGACTTATCTTTAATATATAATTTTTTTTAATTAAAAGTGTTATTTGTAACTTTTTTTTGTATCATGTACATAAAAAATTATTATAATATTTAAATTATTTAAAATTTAAATAATTTTATTCATTTTAAATATAAATAAATTAAATAATATTTAAATGACTAAATATGTAAAAAATATATATAAAAATTATAAAATTTAAAAAATAATAAATTGGATAAAATTTTTATTTGAAACACTTAAATAATTTAAAGTTTAATAGCTTACTATTAATCTTAGTAAATCATTCCATAAAATAGATACTCAATCAATCTGCCAAACCTGTAAGTCATTTAATCATATCCTAATCTAAATAATACTATCAGTATCCATAAGTTATATGGGTTTGGTTATATGGTACAAAATCCATCGTACCCTACAGTTACCCCCAAGCCAAAATATAAAAATTATCTCTTGAAAGAAAAAAAAAAAAAAAAAAAAAAAAAGAAAAAAAGAGGAATTAGGGAAGATACTATAAATATCTGGTGCACTGGTTGGTTGGAGTAGCTTTTCTTCATTTCCGCAATTCTCAGACGAATCCCTAATTTCGTTCACAGGTCAGTTTCATTTCACCATTTCCATTTCCCGCAACATCTACCTAATTAAATAAATCGATTTTCCCCTTTTACTCTTTCGATAGTCGATCTAATTGTTCATCATTTACTTGCAAGTTTGAAATTTGTTTGCAATCGTTAAGAAATTTTTCTTCCCCGTTTTTGGTTTTGGATCTGGAATTGAATGTGTTGCTTCTGGTTTGTATTTGGTTTAGCTCTTTTTATTTAAAAGAAATAAAATTGGGGGAGAATGTTCAAGGTTAGGTTTTAGACAATGAAATGTACTAGGTTTTATTTTAGGAGTAAATTTTGATCCTTTTTTGTGTTAGTTGTGACTTTAATGCCGAGAATGATTACTAAGCTTATGATTGTAGTTTGATGGTTTTTCCATCTTATGCTTGATTTGCGGGCAGTTGGGAACCCTGCTTATGTTTTTCTTACGTGATTTAGATGTAACTGGGCATTGATCTCGTTTGCCCCTTAAACAGGATGAAAACATTATGCTTGAAGTTAAAAGAGTAATGTGTTCGATATAATTTGCTAGAAGTTTGTTTTTCCTGTTTGGACTGTCTGGTTGTCCGTTTTAAAAACTAAAGCCTGCAAAATGGAATGGACTTATTTTTGTAAATTCTGTTTTGTAAAGAAAGGCAACACATGTTCATGTTCTTTAAGGGGCTGTCATGAAGAAATTATGGACATATGGTAGCTCCAAAGAGGAGTTTTTGTTTTTCGTTGCTAGAAATATTAAGCATTTTCGGAGGCTGATGTTTCATTGTTTAATATGTTAATTAAACGTTGGTCAGCTTGCACATTGTTTCAGTCTGCAGTCTTTTTAGCAAGGCTTGTAATCTGATTGAAGTGAATATCAAAGATCAAATCACATGATCTGTGCACCGTCTTAACATGAATGTTAACCCTTAAAAATGTACAGAGTTGTTCGTGCAAAACTTGATATTGTCTGTCTTTTCATCTTTTGAGGGTTGGGTCTGCCATGACATTTCTTTCAGTTTAGGACCATAATGACAAGATGTTTGTTATACCATAAGCACACACAAATGTGTTGAAAGAGCAAGTGAAATTTTGATCTGATAATAGTTTTGCCAACATTTTTCTTTTCAGGTCCTCTGCACCATCCAATGGAGCTTGTAGATGATGGAAAAGAATCATCAAATAGTGTCAATGAAATAGAAGCCACTAATTCCCCACTTATTTCTGGCCTTCCCGATGATATTTCTCTTATGTGCCTAGCAAGAGTTCCTAGAAAATACCACTCAGTCCTGAAGTGTGTCTCAAAAAGATGGAGGGACTTACTTTGCACTGAAGAGTGGCAACTTTATCGCAGAAAGCAAAAGCTTGATGAAACCTGGATTTATGCTTTGTGCAGGGACAAATTAAATGAGATTTCCTGTTATGTTTTGGATCCAAGCTCAAGAAGAGATTGGAAGCTCATTGATGGTCTTCCACCTCAAATCTCAAAAAGAAAAGGCATAGGTTTTGAAGCTTTGGGAAATAAGCTATTCCTATTAGGTGGTTGTAATGGGTTTCAAGATTCTACTAATGAGGTTTATTCATATGATGCTTCCTCAAACCGTTGGGTTGAAGCTACTTCCTTGTCAACTGCTAGGTAAGTATTCTTATGTCCATTCTTTTGGCAAGCTACGCCAGTAAGTGTTGGAGGAGATGATGGTAGAATTTTGAGGATTTTCTATACCAGAAAACTAAAACAAAGCTACAAACTTGGTATTATACTTCGAAAGAAAGAGCTTTATATGTATATACATCCAAATAATTTGTTGTAATGACTTGTGCCTTCTATCTATCTTTTTTTTTATTATTTTTTTTATTTGTGGAAATAAATTGGAAAAAAATAATGTGTTAAAATAAAAATACACTTAAAATAAGTTGTTGCTTAAAAAATTATATATTTTGATAATCTTTTATTTGTAAAGACCTCTTTGTTAAGCTCAACGGTATTGTAAGGATTGAAAATCAGAAAAATTTGGATTTTAATAAGAGCTGGAATTGAATTTAGAATGCTAATTATATGTTATAATTCTTTGCACCATGCAAACAATTGGAGCTTAAAGTAAAATTTGAGCTATAATACCCATTATGTCGCCCAAATCTAATCTTAGGGATTTATGCCTGACATTTATGACATTGTTAAGAAATAAGGTTTCTCTTCCTAAAACACAATTTTATCTGTGTTATAATTCACTTTTTGCCTAGAAATCACTGTTTTCTTCTACAAAAAACTTTCAGGTGCTACTTTGCTTGTGAAGTATTGGATGAAAAACTATATGCTATCGGTGGAATAGTTTCAAATGCAAGTGATCTTCATTCTTGGGATACTTTTGACCCTTTGACAAATTGTTGGATATCTAATAGAGATCCTAATATTGTTTCTGATATTGAAGATTCAGTAGTTGTTGATGGGAAGATATACATCCGATGTTGCAGATATCCTGTAACTCCTCATATATATGCTGCTGTATATGAACCATCAAGCTGCAAGTGGCAGCACGCAGATACTGACATGGTTTTAGGATGGAGAGGTCCTGCAGTTGTTGTTGATGGGACGCTTTTTGTTTTGGACCAGAGTTTGGGAACTAGGTTAATGATGTGGCATAAGGAGAGACGGGAGTGGACCTCTGTGGGAAAGCTATCACCATTGCTTACAAGACCACCCTGCCGGCTTGTTGCAGTTGGCAAAAGCATTTTTATTGTTGGGAAAGGGCTTAGCACTGTGATTGTTGATGTTGGTGATTTGGGGAATGAGGATAAGGTGATATTGGGTTCTTCTATACCCAGATTATTATCTGATTTCGATGTAGTAAGTTGTAAATGCTTGTCGATATGAAACATTGATTAGTTTTTCTTTGTTATTCTCTTAAGATACATGTAAGAATGTTTCATAATTCTTTTTTATTTTTTCTTGGTAAAATGATGGGATGAAAGTTTGAACTTGTGACTTTTATGTAAATTACTCGAATCCCGCACAATTAGCACAATCCTGGTTGTGTTTGCATAATTTGGAGTTTATGTATTTGTACTTATATGGGTGATTATGGACAAAATGAAAATTCATGTGTCGGCAGTCGTGACAACTGAAAATTCAACAATTTTCTCGTAATATGAAATTTCATAAAGAAGCCATTAGAATGAAAATTCATGTGTTGATAACTGAAAATGTTAAATGGTGGAAAAGCAGCAATTTTAATTGATTTATAATAATTAATAGATTGAAGAGACGTTTTTATATTTTATTTAATAAAAATATTTAAAAATTATTAATACTTATTAGATTAATTAATACTATATTTGATCTTCAAATTTCAAAATTTTAAAATCAAATTTTATCTTTGTAAAATTAATTAATTATTATTATTTTTTATTATTTAAAATTTTAAAAATAAAATTATCTAAAACAAAATATATGTATATCAAATTAAATTATCACCTTTATAAATATGTTATAGAGATAGATTATATATGTTATAGAAGCAACGAAAACTGAAACAGGGTACCCCAACAACCCTAGCTGAAGAAGTAGCCTATTTAGACATTTTTAAATATTCTTTCTCCTAAAAATTCTTCCTATTCAAATGTAAAATCAAATAAATTTCTCAGTAAGAAATTAATTTCTCCCTGTATCTTGTTCTCATCGTTCAAAATATCGGTTACATTGGTGTCTTTCAAATTAAGTTCTACCACCATCTTATATATAAATATTAAAAATATACATTATATCTTTTCAATAAGTGATTTAAAACCCGGACCGAACCAGCCGGTCGAACCGGTTGGATCGGGAACCGGTGGTCTATCCGGTCCGAATCTTAAGTTGGACCGGTTATGCAGTCGACCCGTTTTAAACCGGATTGAACAGGTCAATTTTCCGGTTCAACCAGTGAACCGGTAGGTCAAACCGGTTCAACCACTTTTTTTTTTATAAATTTTTTAAGGGACCATAAACCACAAAAATAATAATAATAATTGAATCTCTTAATAAAAAGCAAGAAGTCTTATTAAATATAACAATGACTACTTGTTCTAATATATTTGTTTGCAATATATACAACTTAAATAATTTTTATAGTATATTATTAATTTTAAATTATATATTTAATAATATAATATCTATGTAAATATTACATATATTATTTTGTGATATTAATTGCAAACATATTATATATGTACATATTATTTATATTTTTAATTTGTATTAATATACCGTTTAACATGTAATTTTTTATGTATTTTTTTTACAAAATAAAAATAAAAATAATTTTAAATAAGATAGAAAAATTGAAATTTAAAATAAGATATGAATTTATTAAAATTTATAAGTATTAAATATATTTAATATGAATTTTTTTAATAAAAATAAATAAAAATCGAGTCATGCGGTTCAACTAGTGACCCACTGGTTCAACCTTTGACCCACTGACCCAGTACCTTAACCGGTTCAATGACCGATCCTGTTTTTAAAACTATATTTTCAATATTAGTATGAATATTTTTTTAATTAAAAATCACAAAAACAACAATAAAATTTAAACTTGATATGCATTATACACAATCTAATCTCACCTGAATATTTAACTAGTAATAAAAAATAAAAGAGATCCAAAAATAATTAAACCTAATATAATACATTCTTCCCCTTTCCTGTTGTGAAAGTGAGCTCTTTAGGGATGACAATAGGGCGGGTCGGATATGAGTTTTATGATACCCATTCTCGTTTTTGCAAGTCAAATTCATTCCTGTCTTCGTACCCGTACCCGTCGAGTATGTGATTTTCATCCCTATCCCCGTTCTCGTCGGGTATCGAGTATACTCGTACCTGTACCCGTCAATTTTTTTTATTTATTTTAAATATGATATTTTTAAATTATTATTTTTTATATTATAATTATAATTAAATTATTTTTCTATATTATATTATAATAAATAATCACACATAAAAAATATTAAATTTTTTTAATATAATTAAATTGAAAGTGAGTATTAAATTAAAAATAGGAATGAAGACGGGGACGGGGACGGGTACAGGTACGAGTACGGGGCGGGTAAGTACATACTCGTATCCAATTTAATATATCAAATTTTACTCATATCCGTATCTATACCCGATCAAACTGGGTATTCTCTATCAAAGTCAGGACGAGTTTGGATATTACTCGCGAGTACGAGTATATTTGCCGTGCATACAGCAATAGGCTAACATTTTGAAAAGTCAACTGGACCACTTACGGACCCCCGTGAGACCCAACAACGACACCCATCGTCATCAATCATTATCTCTCTATTTGCCAAAACAAACCCTAAGCCGCCTCTCCGCCGGCACCTCCCCAGCCACCGCGCCTCCGAGAGCGACAAGCTAAATTCAGACAATAACGCAGGTGAGCCGGGCCGGGTCGGGCTAGTTCACTCAGGAAGTGAATTGAGGTGATTCGAGTCAAATGGGCCGGGTTGACCCGTTTTCACAGCCCTAGTTTTCTGGCTTTCCTTTTCCCAAAAGATCCTTCTACTCTCCTCGCGATTCAAGTTTGAAAACCAAACCCTGGTTTTTAATTCTTTTTTTTTTTTGTCTAAATCATCATCTTCTCCTTCGTTGCGCGCGGTTGCGAGCACGTCTCAACCCTTCACTACGCAAAGGTACCAATTTCTGATTACGATTTTGGGTCTGAATTTCTGCTTCTGTTTCTGTTGATTTTTTTCCTGATTACAATTTCACTGCTCTCTGTATTAGTACACAAACCATTTATTTCTTCCCGTAGTTAAGCTCCCTTATGTCACTTTTCTCATGGTTTGGTCTTGTTTGTTTGAAATTTTTAGATAATGCTATGTTGTTATTGCAAAACTCTGCTCTTCACCTGTTGAACTTTATTAAGGGTTTAAGTGAACTTATAAATAAGATGTTTTTATATTCTTCTGATGTAGAAAGTGATTTGCGAATCTTAGGTTCACCTCGTTCATGGGTTTCTCACGGTTGGATGTTACATAGATAATACCATACAGTCTCATTTTTACTACTAGGGATTCTTTCACCTGATTGAACTTAAACATTGTGATAGGTAAGTATAGAGGCTGAAGTGTGGGCATTGTATATGCTGACTTGATCAATGGGGTCCAATTCGTTGAAGGATTATCTGAAAAGGTATGAAAGTAACACTGAAGAAGAGAAGAAAAAAAATAAGAAGAAGAAGCAGAAGAAGAAAAGTCAGCCACCAGCAACTGGCTTATTGGTCGTGGATGAAGATCCTGCGTGGCAGAAACCCGTAGACCTTGCAGAAGAAGGAAATGATAAATCATCAGGTATGCGATACAAATATAAATATTGATTCATGTTAGACAATTTAACATTGTTCATTTCTGTACTATACTATTATTTTGTATAACCATATTTTATTGGTTTATGTAGATGAGGAGAAGCCACTAGTGGATGAAGACATTGAAGTGAAGCGTATGAAGAGGCTTGAACAGCTGAAGGCCAGACGTCCTTATCATGCTATATCCGAAGATGGAAGTGGTTGGGTTTCACTTTCATCTACATCTGCAAATCCTATTAAATCAAATGATGATATGTCTCCACCCCGTAAACAGAGGGTTCGAAATGACACTCCTTCACCTGAACCTGAATTAAATCCTTCAACTTCTAAAAGAAAGGGTGCTGATTTATCTCCAAATCGACTTATGAGTCGGAATGACACTCCATCACCAGATCACGGGACTTCTAATTTGCAAGACATTTCTCCACCACCACGACGTCGTCATGATTCTCCCTCTCAAGATGTGTTACATAGATCTGTGGCATCGGACCTTTCACCCCCAAGGAAAATCCAAAAGAATGCTGCAAGAATGGGTTTGCCTGATATTTCTCGTCATCGTTCACCTCAAGATTTCTCTCCACCTCGACGAGGTCGTCGTGATTATGATACTTCTGACATGCAAGATATGTCTCCACCTAGACGAGGTCGTCATAATTCTCCCTCTCAAGATGGATTTGAAACATCAGACCTTTCAACCCCAAGGAAAATCCAGAAGAATGTTGCAAGATCAGGCTTGGCTGGTTTTTCTCATCGCCATTCACCACAAGATCTCTCTCCACCGCGACGACCTCGTCATGATTCTCCTTCTCAAGATGCTTTACATGGATCTGCAGTGACAGACCTTTCACCCCCAAGGAAAAGCCAGAAGAATTTTGCAAGATCGGGTGTGTCCGATCTTTCTCGCCATCGATCTCCTAGTCCTTCAACGAAAGTTGTTTCACGTCCATTTTTGGATCCTGACCTTTCTCCACCAAGGAAAAATACTAAGGAGGCACCCAATCCAGAATCTGTGCATGTGCCTAAAACAGGTTTAATTTCTAGTAAGGATATCACAGACGAGATTGACAGAAAGAAGAGTGATGATCTGTTAAGGTGATTGTTCAGTTATTATATAATACTTTCCAAGCACGGTTTCTTTTATACCAGATGAATATTTGTTATTGTCCTTGCTTAATGCCATGATGTTGTAGTTCTAAGCATGTTTTTTCCATGGCATGGAATACTGAGAGTTCTACCTGCCTTAGACAAAAGTTATCTATTTGTTTGTTATGGTAATATGGAATACTGCATATCAGAAAACAATGGCTGTTATCTATTTATGGACTATGGCTACACTTGAATAAGACTTTTTATGATGTGAATGACTTGATAAAAATCCTTCTTAGCCTCATGAATTTATAACTACAGCATACACAATCAAATCTCAAATCTGCTAGTTTTAGGGATTGGTTAAACACTTAAACTAAATACAACAATCATATAATATTTGTCCTAATGTTATCGAGTATTTTCAAGGAATACCAGCAGCTACATATGGATTGACATGTTTAATTTTCAGAAAATTTTCGTTATTGGTAGGGAAAAAAATCACATGTCCAACAATATTCCGTTATTTGATGACTAAAATTTGTGTAGTGCCAGTTTCATTGTTTCCTTTAACTGTTTCTTGTGTATAACTAGTGTATTTTAGCATGTATTATTGTATTTTTTGCTTTTAACTATGAATATTAAAATTCAATTATCAAGATGTGTAGAACTAATAAAATGTTGCATGTCTGGGATCAATTCTTCTAAAATCTTAAGCCATTATGTAGAGGCCTAGGGATAGTATTGTCACTTGTATGCCTGGGAAAAGCTTGCTCTGAGTAAATGTATTCCGTTGTGCCACAGTTTTCTCCAATTCCCATCAATCCTATTTAACTTGCGTATAGAATTTCACAATAAAATGTATCAATTGATTTAGCTTGCATATAGAATAAAACCCTGCTTTATGCAGATTTAAACAGATGGACCCTTCCATCAGTGGGCGCGGTGCTGAACCTGTATATCGTGATAAAGTTAAAGGTCAGAATTCAAGTCAAGTTTTAGTTGATGTTTCTTTGCAATCTATTTGATTTGATGTCATTGTTTGTGATTACATGAATTATTGAATTTTGCTGGATTTTGCAGGAGTACGCATTTCAAAGGAGGAATACTTAAAATCAAAACAAAAAGTAGAAGATAAACCCAAGGTATATTGTGCACTGCATCATTCTGTGTAGCACTAGTGCATTGTTTCTGAATGTAGCTTTCTGTGTGTCCTGTCCAATATGTAATTTGGCTGCAAATCATATAGGTGTAGAAAAAAAGAAAGTATGATTCTTTGTGAGGATCCAATTCTCGTTTTATATGTAATATGAGTGGTCAAACAGATACTTGTTTAGTTTGTTTTTGTTCACTCGCGGAATTTTCTGGAGGACTGTCTGCATATTGAATGATGTGAAGATTGACATGGTAATAGGCAGCAATGCAACATTGCATATGTTAATTTCATTAAGTATAATTGCCTAGTTTGTTTCATTAAGTATAGATTAGGAGGTTTGTTGACTTGCCAGAACAAGCGAAATGATGTGGTTCAAATTGTATTCATGGTATTAGAATGTGCAAGTTGTGAATAAACTTTTCCTGATAAAATAGAGCAATAAGTTATTTGTTCCATGCAAATGTATATTAACTAAAATATAATGTTATTATTGCTATGTAAACATATTATTACTACTAATATTACATCTGGAGGACAAGAACCCATCTCACATTCATGTCATTAATGTTTTCCCGTGAAAACTGGTAAGCTGAATTCTTTGCTATCTTTGTGATTTTCAGGATAAGGAAATAGAGTGGGGCAAGGGCTTAGCTCAAAAGCGTGAAGCGGAGGCTAGGCTGAAGGAACTAGAACTTGAGAAGGAAAAGCCTTTTGCACGGACCAGGTATACATAATGGACATAGAAATCGGGGTTCTAGATTGTTATAAATTTGTTTTCAAAGTATTGTAGCAACCTATGATGCACAAACATGATATAGGGTATCAAATACTACATGCATGCCCCTATCCAGTATCCATGTACCCAATACTGATATCCTGGGGTGCTTTAATCACTTTGAATATATTTGTGTTTTCCTGTTGATTGTCATGTCTTTAATTGCCAGGGTTAGTCTTTTTTCACACTTGTTTTGAACATACAAAAGATTTGTTTTGTTTGAGGATTATAAGTGCTTTATAATTACTTTGTTTGCTGTGTGCTAGCATGAAAGTTACTATATAAATGATTTATGTTCTTATTGAAAATCCCTTTGTGAACGTGTCCTGGGTCATCATTGATACGCAATGTTGATGTTTATTGTTTAGTCATGTTAGTGATGTTATTGAAAAGTTCCTTTTTGCTTTTCTTCTCCCTATCTTATACTGCATTTACACTTCTGTTTACTTTCAGAGATGATCCTGAACTTGACAAAATGCTGAAGGAGAGATTAAGGTGGGGTGATCCTATGGCACATTTGGTGAAGGTAAGGCAATACAACTCTTACTGCTGGACATGAAAGATTGTGAAGTTTGACCACTTCTGACATGCTTGTGTCAATTGTCATTTGCAGAAAAAATATCCGGAGCCTGTTCTTCCAAATTTGGGGGAAAATGAGAAGATGAAGGAATCGGGTTTTGTTGTCCCTCAGGATATTCCAAATCACAGCTGGTTAAAAAGAGGGTTAGATGCTGCTCCAAATCGGTATGGAATAAGGCCAGGACGGCACTGGGATGGTGTTGATCGTAGTAATGGTTGGTTCATATTTGCCACACTTTTTGTTCTTGGATTTTACCTTCACTTTTCTTATGGAAATGTAAAACTCTTAAATGATTGACTTATCTTATGCTGCTTGTAGGGTTCGAAAAGGATATGTTCAAGAGAGCAAATGAGAGGCAAGCTAGAGATAGAGAAGCTTATCTTTGGTCCGTGTCTGATATGTGAAAAGTGGCAGTATATAACGATATAAAGGATGGTTGATGATGCCCTGGTCTGAGCATTTAGGTCACCTTGGGAGGCATGTTTGAAGGATATCTGTTGTAGTCCTTAATATGAATCTTCACAATATTCTTTCATAGATTGTGCCGCAACAGTTTTCTGTAGTTCTTCTCTATTATGCCCAAAATTTATGTTCATATTGCTCACATGGCATTGCAATCTAGGAGAATTCTTTTATGACGCACTAAATAAATCACATGCCTGTCAATGTCCTCCCAATTAAGGATGGAAATAGATTAAATCTTAAATAGGGGTTTATGATTTAGTTTTTTCAAAATCTAGTTTGATCTAACCTCTTTAATAAATAAAAAAATCAAGTCTAGATTTTTAAAAATATTATTTATATAATATAAATAAATAAATAATTGTCTTAGTATTAAAAGTAATTGTATTGAATAATTAGGTCATCTTCTTAAATTACTAAATTTTGTTATAATTAAACCAATAATTTGAAAGGATATTATCATAATTATTTTAATTTTTTAAAGTAGAAGTTGGTTATTGAGAGATAATTGAAATAATTAGATTTTTTTTGAATAAGATTAGTCTCTCTTATCATAATAGTTCATGCATAAGTCTATGTTAATGTATATGGATATACATGTTCTTCCTTTAACAGAAAATAATTTTGAATATACATAAATTATTCCTTTAATAAAAAATATTTTTATTTATTTTTTCTTTGTGACATTGTATATGTGTCCAGTATTTTTGAGATCACCTCATATATAATAATTTTTTTATATAATTATTCTTTTTCATTATATAGTGTACATAACACATAAATTGTTCCTCTAATAAAAAATAACTTACTTTTTTCTTCTTTGTGACATTGTATATATTTAAAAATTTAAAATTTAATTATATTAAATAAATTATATTTTATCATGTAAATTAAAAAATAAATTGTAGTGATGTATTTAAAAATAAATTTTTAAATAAGCTAATAGATTAAATCATATTTTAAAAAGATTGAGTTATCTCTATAAAAAAAATCTAAAATATTGATCAAATTTAGGTTTTAATTTTATAAAATAGATCTAATCTATATATTTATCGTCTTGATCTGATTTCACATATTTTTATCTCTACTTTCAAATTTTTAATATGCTAACTTTATCTGCACCTATGACACACATCAAACTCTTGATAGAACCATTTAACAGGCTGTGAAGGCGCATGGTAAAATCAGCTAATGACCTAAGCGTTTAAATGGATAGTTACGAAGTAGTTGTATACAAAGTGTACATTAGATATCTGGTCAAATGTTTGATTTTCAGGTTTTGTATGTAAGAAAGGATATTTGTTGGGAGATGCAAGGTTTTTAAATTGATTACAGTATCACTAGAGATTAGTTAACTTTAGTTTTGAGCATATTTTGGGTTAAAAAAAAAAACAGAAATGCATGCTAAATTGAGTCAAGATCGATTGGAAAATAAGATTTTGTTTTGGATTTTAACTTCTCCATACGTAATTATGGACAAAAAAGATAAAAAATCAATTGGGTTTTTTTCTTATAAATTAAAATTAATTTAATGCACCTCAAATTTTGAAGAGGTGGGATGAGTTTCTTAACAAAATTCTAATATTGTTATTGTCATTGTATAACAACGAAAAATACATTTTATAGAAAAATATTGAAATTTACATTTATAATTTGGATATTAAGTTATTACATAGGATTTTTAAAATGGATACGTGCTAATCTGTGCATTCTTCAGCATGTCACAACTTGGATCTAATGGTTGAATTTGGTGGACTAATTTTCCTAGCTAGCCCTTCTTGAACCAATGATACAAGAAGCTGCAATATTTAACCGAGTAGCACAATATAAGACAAAGCTAAGCAGGGAAAGACACAACGAATTG